TATAACAATGATTTGATGGGATGGTATTTTTAATTTACCAAAAAACATTTTTCTCCACTTCGAGCACTGTATATTGTATTAGTAGTAGTATATAATTCAAACGTGTACATGTAAATAAGCACAAGGTATATAGATAAAATTAAATATAGAGTAAATAAAAGTACAAATACACCCATCCATAACAACCCATCACTCAGAAAATTGTTTGTTAACCAAGTTGACAGTATTTTGTTGACCAAATGAATTTTTGACAGTGAATTTTTTGACAGTTAATTTTTTGGCACACTCTTCATAAATTTATATATATGTTGAGTGTGCATATATATATATAAATAAATATATATATATATATATATATATATATATATATATATATATATATATATATATATATATTAGGGCTCTGCGAAGCTTAAAATTTCGAATCGAATCAAATCAAAAAAGTGATTCGAAATTCGATTCGAAAATCTGCATGTTTTCGAATCAAGGTTTCTTATATACTTTCAAAATTAGTGGTTGCTAACCATTAAAGTCATTTTTAATTAAGGAGTTTTATCAATCGCTATAAGAAAAAAGCTTTTTTTATAGTTTGTTTGTTTTTAAGGGGTTTTCTCATAAAATATGTAACGCTATATATAGTTTTTAAATATGATTTTTTTGATCTCTAACGCACGGAAATTTCCATTGACATAAAGCGCTATATTACTTTAAAAGAATCAGCGAGAAAACCAATAATATCCAACTTCTATTTAAAAGGAAAACTCAACGTTACACTTTATGAATGACCCCTTAACTGAATAGAAACTCAACTTTCAATTATAAGATATAAAATTGTTGTAATTATTCATTCGAACGTTTTTAAAACTCTACCCTGATGCTATAAAAATAATATACAACTAAAATTTTAGTTTTTGTATTTTATTACAACTGGAGCATTTAAATTCAAATACATTCTTTTATAATTTGTTTTCGTTTAGATAAAGGAATCAAATATTATTTAGTTTTGTCTTTATTACTTTACTTCTAAGACAATTAAATAAAAAAACGTTATTTTCAAAATTGACTTTTGATTTCATCAGTGGCGGATTAAGGCTTCTTGGAGTCCTTGGCTTTTTTTGTTTTTGGAGGCCTTTTTATGTGCCAGAGCCTAAAAATGACTAAAAAAAGCAAAGTCTTATGTCAGATTTTTTTAACAAGCCTATCTCGATTGAACACAAAAAAATATATAACCAAGCTGTATTGGAATTTATTGTTGCAGATGGACGTACTTTTGAGACATCGGCTGGTAAGGGTTTTATAAAATTGTGTTCGACTCTTACTAATAAAAATTATAAATCTCCCCATCCATCTACGCTTTCACGTAAGATAAATGACTTAAAAATAATGTTAGAAAGTAAATTTAAAACAGTAGTACTTGCAGAAATATCAGGTTGTAAATGTTCCATTACCTTTGAACTATTTAGTTTTAACGATTTATTCTCTATATATTATATCTCTAACAGAATGGGAGCTAAAATCGCGTTTTTTATATGTGGTAAATCTTAAAGATATTGATGCAGATCATACTTCTCAAAAAACAAAAGAGGTTATTATAAATGAACTACAAAGCTCAAATATTAAAATAGACAACGTAATATGTGCGACCACAGACACGACAAACGCAATGTCTGCCACTGCTAGTCTTTTTGGAATAAAATGGCAGCCATGTACTGCACATGCTCTTTAACTATGCATTAAGAGTGCTTTAAATGTTCAACAACGAAATAAAAACCTTATTAGTTTGGTACACAAAATTGCAGGGTTTTTTAACAACTCTTAAATGTAAGTAAAAAAAAGTTTTTTTAAAATGTTTAAAGAAATATCAACTTGGAAAAGGACTTACACAATCATGTCCACCACTTGATATCGTTATTAGATTTAACAGTACACTTAAAATTCTGAATTGATCATGTAAAAATTGTACTGCAATAACAATGGCTCTTACGGAATGCACTTTAAGTGGTAGATGCGCAAAAACTCCTCTTCAAGCTTTATCGTTGACGATACAAGATATTCAAAAAAAGTGTATTCCATATGCAACAACGCTACTTAGTTCTGATACTACTGTGGCTATCAGTTTAGTTATCCTTGCATTTATACTTAAAAAGTTCAATTAGATTCATTAAATTGTAGCTTTACAAGCAGCTTTAAAAAGGAATTACTCTCACAACTACATGCACGCTTTAATTTAGAAAATATTATGCTCCTTACCTCAACATATTTAGTCTCTAGATTTATAGCCGTAGTTCACACTGAAAACGAGCTTTCAATTGTGAAAAACCATATAATTGAAATTTCCGTTGATTTAAACCATGCGAAACTATTCCTTGCGTAAATTCTATCAAAAAAGAAAAATTTAAAACTTACCTAAAAAATTACTTGACAATGTTCAAGTTAAAACAAGTTAAGGAAGAAGAATCTGAAAGAAGTTAAAACAAGTTAAGGAAGAAGAACCTGAAAAAACATAAACTTTTACAACTAAATTCTGCTAAAAAAACACATTGAAAAATGCGTTGTTACAGAAATGGGTATCTACAGTTGTTTGCAATGCATAAATATTGATAAATGCCCACTTGAATACTGGAAAAAAAATGAAAATATTCTTTCGCACGCGGCTCGATCTGTATTAGGTGTACAAGCAACAAGTTGTTCTTCTGAACGAGTCAACTCAACTGGTGGGAATGTAATAAGCTATTCACATTATTCTCTATCTAATAATAATGCTGAAATCACGATTTGGGTGCAAAAAAATAAAGACTCTTTTTTATTCTATCAAGTAACGATGTCTTATTTCTTATATATATATATATATTTATATATGTATATATATATATATATATATATATATATATATATATATATATATATATATATATATATATATATATATATATATATATATATATATATATATACATATATATTGTTTTTTATTACGATATTTACAAATATACCAATAAGAAAAATTACATGCAAACAAATCGTTAAAAAATAAAGAATAAAGATAAAGAACGCGGATACTCAAAGAAGACAATACAGGTCTTGTCACCGAGAACCGCTGTTGAAGAATTTTGAACTTAATTTAGATTTTAGAAAAAACAAAAAAAAATAAATAAATACAAATTTTAAACTTTTCTTTAGTTATGGTCTTTATGGCTTGAATCAAAATACTGATTCTTCTGAACCGCATGACTCAAGCAAAAACAATAATATCATCATATTCTTGATGAACGAATACGTCTCGCATCTTACTCGCATCTATACGATCACTGAATTTTGTTACTCAAATATATCTTACAATTACACTAATCTTAATTGTTAATTAATTAATAAATAAACGAAAATAATAAGCATATGATTGCACTAGGTACATTCAAATACACTTTAAAGTTGTCCAAAAGATTGTGTAGAAGAATTTAGAAAACCAAATGATGGTGTCACTGTGTGTGAAGCCAAAATTATCAAATGTTGGTGCTTTTACGTTTACGTTTCCACCGACAAATATGCTAAACCACTGTCAAAGGATGGTTAACTTCCAGAAGTATCATACATACAATATTTGCAGATACATCCATTCACACACGCTTAAAAATAGTGTGGACAAAAAATACGACACCTAGTGTAGCGTCTTTTTGGCTACACAAATTGTGCACTTTAAGGCTACACTTGTGCGCTTTAAAGTCACACTTGTAACTATGAAATTAAACTTGATTATAGGCGTAAAAAAAGCCACACTTAGTGTTGCACTTTCTTGGATTCTCGTATCAAATTATTCGGAAAAGAGGCTAGAACCATGTTTTCGCCGCCAGAGTCTAGCGACATGTTTTTTTTTATGAACCTTTTACAATTTTACTGAAAATTTTAGTGTAACTTTTATTGTTGCATGTTAATTTTTAACACACACAGTTAACTTTTTCATAAAGAAGTATTTGATTTTTAATATTTTAGTAATATCGTTTTAAATATAAAAAGAGCGAGGAAAATATCGATTTTCAGTTGTCATAAAAAGCGAGGAAAATATCGATTTTCAGTTGTCAAAAATTAGGTAAGATTCTTACCTAATTTTTGACAATTAAAAATCGATATTTTATAAAATAATGACATTAATGTACTACAAACCAAAGTTCTTACTAAGAACTTCGGTTTGTAGTACATTAATTTTATTATATATTATAATTTTTATAACTTCATAATAATATTGTTAACGTAACTAAAATAATTGTATTAACACGACTGGTAATTTGTAAAGTTAACATAACTTAATTAATGTTGTTATCATAATGTAAATAGCGTTGTTAGTTAATTTTGTCAATGTTAAACGTTAATTAATTTTGTTAAGGTTAATTTTGTTATGTTATAACATAACGGAAAATATTTATAACATAAAATTATTAAATAAATATGATATTGGTGTCACTTAAGTTACGATAGCAGCATTTTAGTTATATTAACAACAACTATTTTAGTTTTGGTATGTTAACTAAAAATATATGTACACCATTAAGGTTTACTTTACATGATGTACATATCTTTTTTATTGCTGAGATAACTAATAAAATACATTATTGTATGTAATATCATTCAATAATGATTTTTAGTCATGTTGCATGTTGTAATAATGTATTAAATAACTTCATCATACCTTAAAAACACTCTAAAGTTATATTAATATATACAATAAATGCACGATGGCAAGTATGATATCATATATATATATATATATATATATATATATATATATATATATATATATATATATATATATATATATATATATATATATATATATATATATATATATATATATATATATATATATATATATATATATATATATATATGTATATATATATATATATATGTATATATATATATGTATATATATATGTATATATATATATATATATATATATATATATATATATATATATATATATATATATATATATATATATATATAGTTTTTGTTTCAGAAAAAACTTATAAAAATGTTTATTTGCTATATATGTGGTGCTTCTTTGAAACCATTGAGTTTTTTTCAAAATCATCTACAACGCCATAATAGTATTGGCGAAATTGTTTATCCAATTAAATGTTTACAGAATGGCTGTAAATGTACCTTTACAGCTTTCATGTCGCTAGTTAGACATATAAAATGTTATCATAATATTGATAATGATTTTATTGATGAAAATCCTGAGCCAAAATCTACCATGTGTAATCCATTAAATGATAATCATAACGATTTGTTGCCTAGTTTTTCAGAATATTCATTGCCTAGTTTCCCAGTGAGTTCTACATATCAAGTTGATACTTATCATGAAAAAACATTAGAATATATTGGTTCTTCATTAGTTTCTTCATTGCGAGCAAACAGTAGTGTTCCATATTATATTATACCTGAAATAATTGCTTCTGTTAACAATATTTCACAATCATTAGTTTCCTATATTGGTAATGCTGCTTTATCAGTTTTAGATGACATTGGAGCAAATGATTCCACTCGAACGTTGTTTAAGAGTAAGTTAGAAAGTAGCTTAATACATTGCAATGAGCCACTCAAGTTTCTTGACACATTGTATAAACAAGATAAACACTTAGAAAAGAATTCTCTTTTTGTAACTCCTGAAACTTGCAACATGGGCCCTCCTAGATATGAAACTAATGAAGGAATTTCTAAGATTGTTTATGACACTTTTCAATATATATCAGTAGAACAAACGCTAAAATCACTTCTTCATAATCCCCAATATATAGATGCTTTAAATTTTAATAAACAAAAAAAAGGAATTATAAAAAACTTTTCTGATGGCCAAGCATGTAAAAACCATGAACTTTTTAGTGATTACAGCAAGATTTCTTTAAAATTACAGTTGTTTTATGATGGAATGGGGACATCTAATCCACTTCGTGGACAGCCTTCACTGTGTAGTATTGGAGTCTTTTACTTTGCTGTTTTAAACTTACCTGTAAAGTATAATTCCTGTTTTACAAATGTTCATTTGGTGGCTTTGTGCTATTCTCATGATATTAAAGTATATGGATTTGATGCTATTCTTGAAAAATTTTCATTTGAAATGAACAAGTTAAGTGAAATTGGCATTTCAGGTGAATTTCCAATAATTGGTAGGAATGTAGTTTATGCCAGTCTTGCTCAGGTTGCCTGTGACAATTTGGCTTTAAACTCTATATTTGGTTTTATTGAATCGTTTTCTGGCAGCCACTTTTGTACCTTATGCTATGCAACTAGTAATGACATTCAAATCTACTTTACTGAAGATAAATTTGAAATGAGAACAATTCAAAAATATGAAATAGATGTTGGAAATGTTCAAAGTGGCAATGTAGGGAATAAAAATCACTGTAAAGGAGTAAAGAAAGCTTGTGTTTTAAATTCAATCAAAGGGTTTTATGTCACTTCAAACTTTAGCTTAGATATCATGCACACTGTACTTGAAGGTGTTGTTGTTATAGAGTTAGGTGCTGTCCTGTATTGTTTGTCTGTCGAAAAACGTTTTTTTACCCTTGGTGAGTTGAACAATCGCCTATCTCACTTTTGGTCAATGGTTAATGTTGACAAAAAGAATAAATTGCTAGAACTCAACAAATTGGAAGTTCCAGGACATGGGCTATCACCAAGTATGAAAGCCATGCAGATCTGGTCCTTACTTTTGTATTTGCCGCTTATTGTTTGTGATTTTGTTCCAGAGAAGGATGAACATTGGAAGTTTCTACTAGAATTATCTACTTTAGTTGATTTGATTTTTGCTCCAAAATTTACAACAGGAATGGTAACATACCTTAAATATATCATAGCGAGCCATTTGGAAAATTTTAAATTTTTTTTTGGGAATCACACTCGTCTTCGTCCCAAACATCATTTTTTGGTTCATTTACCAACAATTATTATGAATTCTGGACCTCTTATTGGAATGAACTGTCTAAAATATGAATTAAAAAATTCATTTTTCAAAAGATCTGCGCATATTGTAAGCAATTTTAAAAATATATGCTTCACTCTAGCCAAAAGACATCAACACAATGCCTTACATCATAGATTATCAAGTGCTTATATGCGTAATTTAATAATTTCTGAAAGTCATGATGTGGTACCAATTTGTAGTCTTCATTATTCACAAGTACTTTTGGACACTTTTCATAGTAAACCTACTGATGATATTTTTGTTGCATTCAAAATTAAAAGGGGATCTCTTCAATACAAAACAAACCACCATCTTACTATTAGTGAAGATGAAGATTATCCTGTTTTCGGAAAAGTTATCAGCTTTGTTAGTATCAGGGATGAGTCCTCATGGTTTGTTGTATTGTCTAAGCTTAACACACTTAAATTTGTGGAGCATTGCCACTGCTTTCTGGTCGAAGATGTCAAACCAGTTACATATCTTGTTATAAATTTGGATGAACTTATTGATGATCATCCTGTTTTATCGTATCAAAAAGAAAATGCATATTATAAAAGGCAACAATATCATGTGTTTAAGGAATAAATTAAAGAAGTGTTAAAACTTTTTTATATTTTTTTAAAAATACCAAAATTGGTATTATTGAATTGTCATGTTGATTGTTTTGAACTATATTTGATTATTTGAATAATAATTATTGCAATGTCATTGTTAATTATTTTGTTGTTTATTTTTTTGTTGCAGTTATTTTTTTTCTTTTTAGTTACTATAGTTATTAAATTATTATGTTAATTATTTTTTATTTTAATTAGTTAAAATTGTTATATTTTTATTTAATCCTTCTATTGTTAGGCTCTATTTTTTTGTTGCAATTGTTTTTACCTTTGTTATCTAACCACTCCTTAAAATGGTTCCATAACTTAGCAGCATTAAAAGATATTTTTTAAATCAATTTATTCATTTGAGTTTATTCTACAGTAATTCAAGTATGGAAGAATATATATTTGTTGGTGCATATATAGATGAAGGTATAACATTAGAAATATTAAATTTACTTGATGATGATGATTTAAAAGAAATTGGTTTCAATATGGCTTCAAGAAGATTACTAATTCAATGGATCCGTGCTCAATCATCAACATCTGGTAATCAGGGAAATATTGTAACTTCTAAAATAATGTCAACAGAGAGCAAAGATATTAAAATACCTACAAATACTACAACAATGATCATAGCAGAGCAACCACAACAAGCTACTTCTTCAATTTCCGTAACTCTATTTTACTTTGTTAAAATTTTTATTTAGATAATGTTTAACTACTGCTGGAAATTTTTTTTTATAATTATATATATATATATATATATATATATATATATATATATATATATATATATATATATATATATATATATATATATATATATATATATATATATATATATATATATATATATATATGTGTGTGTGTGTGTGTGTTTGTGAAATAATGTAGGACTGGTCTGTTGAAGAAATACTAAATAAAATGACCATGACAAAGATAAAAGGAGCAGAATTAGTTGATAAGCTAAAAAGAATGGAGGAAATAAACAAGAAAGAATTTTTTTAGTTAAGATTCTTGGTAGATATCTTATGAGCAATTGCAAATTGTAAGTTTCAGTGTTTTTTTTTAGTGTATTTTTCCGGACATTTATGGAATTCCAAATATTTTTTTTAACTTTGTGTTTTTTAGGATATCAAAAATATTCCTTATATACAAATTTAAGTATATATTCTTGTTATATATTACATCACCCAAACCAAAAATAAAAGCATTTTCAAAGACTATTTTTAGAACTATTATCTGATTTTTTTATAGTATTACTGTATATTATATTATTTAGGACTGATAGACCATCTAAAGAAGAAAAACTGCAATTGTGTCAATCACTTATCACTGCTTTCCCTATACTACGTGACAATGCAACATCATCTGGATTTGTAAGTTAAAATTTTTGTCATTTTTAAATAAGATATTTTATATTATCACTTACCCAACCAAATAATTTGCAAAATCAACAAACATTTTAGAATAATATGTTTTTATTCAATTCTATAGGAACATTTTTATGATGCTAAAGCACATACAGATTTTTTGGAAATGTTCATTAGACAAAGAAGATCGCGTAGCCACAATATAGAAACATTGTGGAGTCATTCAAAGAAAAAGTATTTTTTTATAATTTTAATTGGCAATTTTTTATATATTTCAATTACTACTTGTACACCTTATATTTTTATTTATTTTGCCAGTTAATAAAAATGTTGAATAGATTAAAGTTTTTATATAATTCAAAGTAATATTGCAATTTAATTCTAAAAGTATTGACTTGTTTCTGTGAGTTAGTTAATACAACAGTAGTTGCAAAATGAATTTTGTTCAATAATAACAAAATAGTTTACTATTATACGTAATTTTTGTATATTATAAATAATAAAAACTGTTTATTAATTATATATATTTCATTTGATAAAATATTTTAATACTACTATTATTTACCAAATAACTTTTATTAAATAAATTATTTTATTTATGCATAAAGCAAAACTTATCTTTTTAAAATATAATTATTGTACTTATTGTCAGCAACGATGTTGTTCTGTTAAATTCATCAGAGAAAGTTGAACAAATGTTGCGAGAGCTTCAGCCAACAACTTCAAACAAAGAGAGTCTACTAAAAATGATGGCTGATACAAGAGTGGTAAGAAGAGCATGGATTCAAAAAACAAGCAACTTATCAATAACCTCAATTATAAGACGGTTTCCAAGATTTATTGATATGAATGATGCTGTGAGTGTTATTTTTAACTTTTTGCAGTTCATTTGTAAATCTTGTTTACTTTATAAAATAAGCTAGATTAGTTAATAAGAATAATTTTTAGCTTTTTTGCATTTCATAGATTATACAAGAGTTTCATTCCATTGAAGTGGCATCGAGTAATATTACATTGCATGATAGCTTTAACACGTGCAAACAAAACATTTTGTTACTAGCAAGAGATTTGACAATGACAAACATGTTCAAAAATACTTTGTCAGAAGACGAATATAATGAAGGTATATATATGTTTTAGCCTAAGTGACCCCAATTGAGGAGAATGAATAAATAAGAACTTCATAACTTAAATGTGAATTTTCACAGCATAATTGTCAATATGCATAAGTACTAAACTGCTGCAACTTGTGCTTATCTGCAAAACAACTATGTGCCTATCTGCAAAAGTGTGGAGTTTCCTATTCTATTTCCTATTCCTATCAATTATTAATTCCTAATTTAATATTCCCTCCTAATCCAAAAGAAGCTTTTTTTATAATCTAACTATAAAAATTTATAAGTATATACAAGTTATTCCCTGATTTATTTTTATTTAGAAGATACAACTTTGCTTGCCTTTAAGGCGCTCCCTTTTCTTCTCATAGCACCTCCACAAAAGGGCAAGAAGCATCCTAGAATGGATCCTAATGCAATTTTGGCATTATTTTATAGGGAAATGGATGTAGGTTTTTTCTAAACATTTTTTTAAAGTTAAATTTGGTTTATAATTAAAACGTATTACTTTTTTGAGCTTTGTATTTTCTGCATTTTTTAAATTCTACTTAAACATTTAGGTACACCTCAGTCTTGAAAGCTCCCTTGAGTTATTAAAGAAGGAGAAAGTTTTTCAACCAATTTTATTCAAGTGTTGCGGCACTCTATTTATTAAACTCGATAATACAGCTATACGTTTGGAAGCCATACCGAGTATCAGTTTTGCTTTTGAGTTACTGCTAGCCTCTTATTATGTATTCAATGTCAATTTTCCTCATGAACTTATTTGTGTTTATGGATTTCTGGGAAGTTTGCTTGGAATAAGCAGCAAAGGAATTATTGTCAATTCTTTCTTAAAGAAAGTATTGCCAAAAGTATAAAATTAAATTAAACAATATTTGTGAAACAAAAATTTATTTTTAACACTATCTCGTTTATTTTTGCCATATCGTCAACCGATATGTCTAGGCCGTATGTCCAATTTTTGTGTTTTCAAGAAAATCAAGTTTTAAATTTTAATTGGCAAAGACTTTCTGCCAGAAAGTTCGACTAATTATTTGAATATTTTCGAAAATTTTGTGATATATTTATGGAACACACACTCTTGAATATCTATTGATAATGGACAAAAAACAAACAAATGTTGACATACGGCTTCTTGGTTCTTCTCTGACGGCGATTTCTATTTTTTAAAGTTTAAATTTCGTTTTTGCGTAAAAAGGTTTTACGACTTCTTCTTTAATATTCACTGTCTTGAGTTTGCATATTTAAAAGAAATGCTATTATATGCATTTAATTCGGAATTAAAATAAAATTTATATTTTATTTTATTGTGGTAATATTCCGTTTTTCTTGTATGATATACATTTGTAATTTAGTATATGACTCTTTGTTCAATATAAATAACTTAGTTTTATTTGAAATTATTAATTGCGCCTGGTTATATTCATACTAACTGAAGACCTAAATGGATGGAATAAATCACGCATAAATATAATTAAAAAAAATCAAAACATTTAAAACGCCTCGAAAAACACAGATTAGTGTATAATCTATAGTTTGCATTCAGCGCAACAATAATGTCGAGGCTTTATTACAACAGTTTTGTCGCGCAAAAAGAGCGTAAATATATAGCCATTGATTAAATGCAACAATTACGTCGCATAAATTTCTACAAAAGTGTCGCATTAAAGGCCACAAAAAATGGCTTTCAAGTCTACATTTTATGTGGCCTTACGAATGCAACACTGAGTGTGGCTTTTAGAGCCACATAGTGTTGGTGTAGCCGGCATCGACACTCAATGTTGTATTCTACGCGACATAATGTAGCCTACGGCTCAACACTATTTTTAAGCGTGCATACATCAAATTTTTTTATTTTTTTATTTATTTAATAATATATGTATATATATATATATATATATATATATATATATATATATATATATATATATATATATATATATATATATATATATATATATGTGTGTGTGTGTGTGTGTGTATATTAGAAAATTAAATTCAATATTAAAAGTATATACCGTTCGTAAGACAAATTATTTACAAATATTACAAATTAAAATAAAAAGTAAAGTAAACAAGTAAATGATAAATGACTACTGTACAAATAATGTCAGTGCAAATTTTAACGTATTTCAAATAATGGTGTTTAAATATAGTTTTCACATAAACTTTAAATCAATATTGTATAAAAGTAAAATATAAATGAGTGGTGACAAAACTGGATATAATTAAAATTATATAAATATATTTTCAATTAAGAAAATTACTTTTTTTAGTTTTCTTTTGAACATATAATAATTCCATTCATGAGAAAAATCAAAGTTTTTTCAAATTGTTTGGTTCTATAAAAAAGCTCCACGAAAAGAAATGCAAAGTTTACCAAAGTTTGTTTAAAATTTTAGTTGTTTAATAAAATTATCACTTCTTAAATAATATTTATTTTTTTTCTTTTAAAGAATATAAATTAAAAAAGGAAGCTGGAGATGAGTTGGTTTTACATTTAAACATAAAACAAAGAACATTATAAACATTTACTTGATATATATTAAAAACATTCAGTTAAATAAGAGTGGCCTTGTATGAGTAAAACGATTTTTAAAATTTGTAAGACGTGTAATATTCTTCTGCTGACAATAAAGTGGCTTTATTTTACTTTTATGGGTACTACCCCATGCAATATTAACATAATTAATATGACAGTGTATAAAAGAGTAATATAGTTGAGTTAATGAATGTTTGTTTAAAACGCTTTTCGCTTTGTATAAAATTCCAATGTTTTTTGCAATTTTGTTGCATAAATGTTCGATATGATTCTTCCATGATAATTTTTCATCTACAATGATACCTAGAAAATTTGTGAAAATTACTCTTTTTATTTGAATATTATCAATATGAAGAAGAGGCATATTACTTGGAAGTAAATGTTTTTTAAACCGTGGATGAAAGAAAATCCATTAAGTTTTATCAATGTTGAGTGAAAGTTTATTTGACTTAAACCAGTCAGATATTTTTGTTAGTTCAATGTTCATATCATAACAAAGTTTATTGATGTTATTATTAGATAGGAAAAGGTTTGTATCATCAGCAAACATTATAGTTGTTAATTTTGAGACTTCATGGAGATCGTTAACATAAATTAGAAATAATAAGGGCCTTAGTATAGATTCCTGTGGAAATCCATAGGTTATATTTAGATAATCTATCTTTAGATAATCTTGTGAAGAAGATCCGTTGACAAATTGTTTGCGATGCTTTAAATAGCTTTTTAGTAGTTTTAAAGCATTACCGGTGATACCATAATGTTCAAGTTATTTAAACAGTATTTCATGGTCAATTGTGTCAAAAGCCTTAGATAAGTCTATACAGACGCCTAAAGTAAACTCTAACTTTTCAAATGAATAAGTTATACTACAAGTAAGATGAACTATTGCATGTTCAGTAGAGTTATTTCTTTTAAAACCGTATTAATTTATGTAAAGTATATTATTAACAACAAGATGATTAGATATTTGGTTGAACATAATTCTTTCTAAAATTTTCGA